TTTCTGTTCTCAGTTCAATAACAATGGTGCAGGTCTAAACATCGGAATTTCCTGGTCCAAGTTCTCTTTTACGACTCAGAAATCAACAATAACTGGAAAACAGTAACTGTGATCAGTCTTTGGCAAGTTTGGGGGTGAGACCTGGCAGAGTTTCAGGGTCGCTGACAAGCAGTAGCCATGTCTAACCCTGATTGTGTGTCAAGTTGAGCAACATTCCTCATGATCAGACAGATAGTTGTAAACTGTTTCCTTAGAACAGAGTCCGGAACCTGTCTCGGTTCGGTCTCATATTACAGGTTGGTTGGTTGGTTTGTTGTTTAACGCGGCACTGGGCAATATTCCAGCTATATACAGGACTTCCTAGCTTCCAAGCAGCTAAAACTCCAAAATTATACTTAAAAAACAACCATTTACCCTCACAGATTTAGTTAAATTCATTTTTTGTTAACTCTAATCCAAATGAAAAAAACCAAAACAAAATAATTCCCAAACTGTCATCATAAACAGTCATCATTGGAGAAGACATATAATTATGCAAACAAAATTGCAGTCTTCAAGGAAAGCTGGTCTTACACCTGACATGCTACAGAGAGCTACACAATATGCTGACTTGAAGATCTCGGGAGTTCAAACATGTCAAACTGTGTACTTTATTGCAATAGTATCTAACCTAGAAACCTGTTCAATCTTCATTTTCAAACACTAAGATGAATATAACAAGTGCCCCTGAAGTGGTAACTAGCAAATGCACTGCAGCAAATGTAAATATTACCATATTGGAACTAAAATTTTCTAAGTTCTTGTTAATAATGTTAAACAGTAACTAATGTTATTGCTTTTTGGGGGTGACTTGTATATCACTGATAACCGGCTTTAAAGTAGCTTTAATACTTAATTCTACATTATTGCACTGAATGTTATATCAAAATATCTCAGAATCTAGAAAAATAAGAACTCTGACAAAATAAAAATTTCCAATTTGTTGCTAAGGGCAGTGACTTAGTTTATAATTCCACTTCTAAGGTAAATCCCTGTATGGGGGAAGTGTCAATACTACATGTATGAACATGGTTAATGCTTCTGACTTGTACTGTTGTGAATAAATGTAGATTTGTCCCTGTATATTATGTCTCATATGTCATATTATATAGCATGATATACATGATATAGTAAACATGGTCAAATGTGAATATATTACTAAAATAGTGAATCTAAATCCTAGAGAGGACTACAACCCTGACAACTACACAACAAACAGGTGAGCCATCATGGCCACCGACATCGCTACTGTCCACAGAAAGTATGTTGGGACTCAGCGCAGTAATGCATTAGGCCTTAGTTGTTTAGTCGGCATCACAGTGAGTGAGAGAGTGAGTTGGGTTTAATGCCGCTTTTAAAAGTATTCCAGTTATATCACGGTGTGTCGGCATGACAGATTAGCTATAGTAATAAGAAAGAATTGGGTGTTCTGTAACTTCTTTTGAGTAGTATATAAATAAAAATAAAAGGCCTTAGCATAATAAGTAACAAAAAAAAATGACGGTGTTAAAGTATGATTAGATAATAACCATTCAACAAAAATGAAAACTCTATTCGTTGAATCAACATTATCACAAGTCCTGCACCATGACTGTGGAATATATTTACTTTATGAAAACTTAACCAATCTACATATATATATATATGATGATGTTAGACATCAATTGTTAGTCTACGTTATCACCTAAATTCAGGCCAAATGAAACCTTGATATACTTAAACACGTTATGCCTGATCCCAACCTGTAGTTTACTCATTTCAACAGCCAGTGTGACTACTTCATCTGTCTATATCTCACCTGCCCTGCTACAACTGAACACCCAACAGCCAGTGTGACTACTTCATCTGTCTATATCTCACCTGCCCTGCTACAACTGAACACCCAACAGCCAGTGTGACTACTTCATCTGTCTATATCTCACCTGCCCTGCTACAACTGAACACCCAACAGCCAGTGTGACTACTTCATCTGTCTATATCTCACCTGCCCTGCTACAACTGAACACCCAACTGACAAGTGGGATTCAATAAGCGTCCTGTCCAGAAATAGATAGCCAATTTGAACCAAACTACCCCGGTAGTCCAACATAATCTGGGTAATGTGTGGTGAATGAAAATTAGATTTCCTATCGCCTTTATCCAATGTGTGTTTTCAACAGTGCAGTGAACGGTATTGAGCAGCAAGGCAAGCCCTGACCCTGTTTGTTGACCGACCTGTTCAGAATGGGTGACTGTGAGTTAGATAGCTACCTAGCTGTGGCTTAGCAAACATTGCATGCAGACAGCAGGCACTGTCAAACAATCCCACCATTTACAAAAATCATTAATGAGGAATTCCGCTTATTGATAGTGTATTCAGTGGCTGAGATCCTTTATTTCTGGATGCAAGGGTCTATTAGTTTTCATGATGTAAACATCGCAGTTCAACATGTTCATGAGTCTATCCAAATATATTTCTGAGTTGAGTCTTTCCATCTAAATATATCTGATCATTACTGTATAATACTGACTGGGCATGGGACATGTAGTATTTCTTTAGGTGCAATTCTTCAAGAGTTAACATCCAACTTTTCAACTTTCATTCCAAATTTTATTCTAGACCCTTGTGTTTCCATGGCAACAAGAGACGCCAATCATAGGTCGATACAGTTTTGAATATATTTCAACATGTGTAGAGTTACACTTTGCAGATGCAGTGTTAGAAATTGGTACTAGTCCTGTAGTCCTTGCCAAACTGCCTAATCATAAGGACTAGTAGACGTTTGCCATTTTTAAGGGTTTTGCTATATGTTATCATTTTAAGGACTAGTGGGCTAAAACTGTTAGTTTCTACCGATGAGATGACTGATTATACATATGGCTTCACATACTGATCTATCCGCCACAATTAGATATCCTTTGGTTTGGGTGAGTTAGGGTAAAAACCTCGTGTGAGAGGCCTGGATTTCTTGAAATGCAACTATGTACCATCATCAGATGTGTCTATCGCATCTAGTCTGACCTCTTTGGAACAATTCTTCAAACACATGTGAAGATAGTGACTACTGACAGTTCGAGGGACTGGTCAGACAAGTTTAAGTTTTCACTCCCATGGGAACTGTGTCCATGGTGACCCCTTTTTCATGCAGAACACACGACTCAAAATTAACAGTACAAATTATATCCAGGAAAGAATTAGTTTTAGAAAAGATAAATATATCCAAGCATTTATCTGAGCCGTTTTTCCCTTTTAGGGGTTTTCTCATCCCAGTGTCAAAGAGGTAAACAAAGACAATTGGAAAATGAGTATCAACATGATGACGGTAATATCGTAAACATCCCTGATCTCATTTTGAAAATGACCTTCAGTTGTTCTAACAGGCTACTTGTATTACTCTTCCTCACAAGATCAGGATATATGCACCAAAACAGAATAATTAAAGGCAAAGAGATATAGTGAAAGAAAGTGTAGGTTTGTATTTCCAACTGCAATACAAGATGTCCGTGGCAAGTCATCCAAGACACTGCAGTAGTGTTACAATGACTGTGTAATGATCCACTGCCTTCAATACTGTGGCGGGCCACAAAAACATGGGTTTGGTACCCACTCTTCCAATGTCGGTATTCAATGCGGGTATTCAATTCAATATGGGTATTCAATGTGGGTATTTAATTCAATATGGGTATTCAATGTGGGTATTCAATTCAATATGGGTATTCAATGTAGGTATTCAATTCAATGTGGGTACCTGAAAAACTAGTTATGAAAAGAACTGGGCCTCCCCAAATCTCACCAGTCAACAGGGACATGATATTGATAGGAGCATGATGAATGGCAGTAACCCTGTTGATGGACTACAGCATACATCATCACATGTGAGTGTAGACTATCAACTGGGTCACTGATTCCAAATTATAGCCAGGCCTCTGCTATTTCTACAGCTAGTACTGACCATGGTTATGTCGATCTCTGGTGAAACCTAGATGTTCTGTTGGGCTAGGTAATGGCTATACCATGTATACCATGTCATACTAGGTCGAGTTCCACACTGCAGTCTTAGTGCTGTGATTGTCATACCATGATACATCTATGTTAAAGTATGGGAGTTATGGTCGCTTTGTGTAACAGAGTTCTGGTATAGAGCACATATAAAAGATTCCAATATGTGTGTTGTAAGACGACAAGTGGTAACAGTGAGGATGGTACATCTTCCCGAGGCAAGAGAGTTAACTGACCATTAAGTCCAGTTTCCACCCTTGCCGAACTAGGCTGGGATTATGGAATTATAGTTATGGTATGGCAACATGAAAACCCAACCAACTGTCACCAAGGTGACACATACTTAAGATGTAGAAATGTATCTTCTAAAGCAAAAGTTAAATAATATTACCATGCAATCACTGAATAAGTAAAAATGTATAGAAACATTTCTTGGAAGGTTACGTATGCGTGCCAGGAAACCGAGAACATGATAATTTTGTGTATTATCTGGTAAAAACCTGGATTTTATATCTGTTCTATGAACGTCAAGACAGTCTTATCAATGGAAGAGTTATCTTTCCTTGCCCGAGCCATGTAAACTATGCTGTGAGTATCCACGCTTGCCTGCTGAGGGCCACCCAGTAACCTGGGAAATCATAACAACAAGCTACAAGTCAACTAGTGTGTGCACATGGTACAGGTAATACACATGATAAACAAAGAGTCTAGAAATAACACTGTCCTACAACTGGACATCAACAAAAGTGATAGAAATTTGCACAACCTGAGACAATTTTTGTTAACATTTATACTGGTATTCTTTGGGCTGTAGAATTTTGAATATTTAGGGCATGTCAGGGGCTGTTTCCATATGTTGCCACTATTCAGGTTAGTAGACTTCCAGCATGTCCAGGGTAAATTTCCTTCCTTGTTAAAATACATAGATCATTAACTCTCAAAACACACAATAAAATCAATATCTCTCTGTGTCATTGTTTACCTGGAGAATTCGCTGAATAATGTTGCCCCCTGATGAGTAAGTGTGTCCACCAAGTCTTATAGAACAGCAGCACAGACACTGGCTTATTACTGGGTTTGTTGGAATGATGACACAATTTTATATGACAGAGTACTGCCATGAGGTGAAGCACAGCTCATAAAGAAACTAGTAATGACTGTCACTGTCAGCAGAGGACTCAAGGGTAAAGACGGTGTCATTGTGCACTGAGGCGGAACTGGAACCACACTATCGACTGTTAACATTGAAAGTAATGCTGATAGAAATAGATTGAATAGAAATAATCATATACTTGAATTGGCATACCCTTGCTTGTTACGACACAACATGTCAACTTCACAGCAAACAGCAGTGTAGCTTAAGGTGAAATATAGCCTGAATCTGTGCTTGAGTTGGCTTGACAAACATTTAAAATGAGAGACTATGCCCCATGGCCTGGTGCGAATTTACAGTTTCAGACTAGATATTGTTATAAATGTGTGAAATTGACCCATTTTCTCAGTGTAATTATTTTAATCACTCAGAATTGATCTCCAACATGCACAAAATCTATGTTTGCAAACAAAATGCCATTGGAAGAAATTGAACCAAACTTGCTAGCACTGAGCCTAGTGCCCCTTTAACCCAAAAATTCTACTTTGTCTACAGGGTTCACTAGCACTTTGTCTACAGGGTTCACTAACATCAATGAAGTTAAAATTCTTGCACTTTTCAGTTTTGCACATGTTGTAAGGACTTAAAGCTCATATTGTGGAATTGCTTTTATTAATCCAAATAACAAGTCAATCAACCATCTGGAAGTTCAGGTGAAACACTTCCAACTTGAATATAATCAATTTAAGAATATTAGAGCTTAATTATTTCCTTAAACCAGTGACCTCATCCTAAACAATTTCCTTCCTGTAGCAGAAGAAAGAAACTTATATATATATATATATCCTTTGTGATGTGCACCCATTTGCAGAGCGCACAACATGCATGGTTAAACATGGTATACAAGGAATTCTTATCCGAAACAAACTTACTGGGTGACAGGGAACATACAGCCTACATTTATTGCTCTGGTTGTTTTTTGTTAAATGCCACACACAGCAATATTCCAGCTATATAATGGCAGTATGTAAATAATCAAGTCTGGACACGACAACCCAGTGATTGACATAATGAGCATGACTCTAAGCAATGATGACATGCATCAACTGAGTCAAGGAGCCTGAATTCCCCATCCTGTTAGTCGCCTTGTTGCCTTTTACAGCAATTATGGATTGCTGAAGACATATTCTAACCCAGGTCTTCATGGTGCTCTATTGCCACTTGCAAAACCAAACCAAAGCCAATGATGGTACTCTCAATAACATCATCATGAGATTACTATATGAGACAAGAACCCAGTTGTAATGTTGCTCAATCTCTTAAGTGACAGGGAAGTAAAATGAACTTGATTTGAGCAAGTGAGTCAATGGTGGAAGATGCTGCAGTTCACTGAGTTAGTATGTCCCTTAGCATGTGTTGTCACACTAGATTCCATTCATATCCCAGATTCGCCCTGATAATGATTCTTGCTTTATCAGCACCATACATGTCTGTGGGTTTCACTAGAGTGGGAAATGTCAAATCATGCGTCATGTAATATATTTCCAATCATAAAATCATGTATATCTTATACAATATCCCGGAAAAAACTAATATGCATGTAGGGCATTGTAGACCTACATAAATTGGGTTCTACTACTATGATAAGTGAATATATCTTAATGTGTCAATTATTCCATGGCAAAGTGCATAACTATCCATATGGAATTCTCTCTTAAGTGCAAAATGTTTACTGAGGTAAATTCTGAACACTTGAGAGAGATGAGCAAAGATGACATCTAATGATCTATGTAGCTCCAGTATATACACACATTCTTTTCAAGGTCAAATCTTTGGAATACAAAACTCACAAGGATTGACAAAAGCACTGTCAAGATACGATATGACACTAAACATAATAATCCGAGACGTCTGTTAGAAACGAAGAAGCCATGTCGAGTTCATATGCCAAAGATCTTTGAAAAAGAAGCTTCGGCTATAGTTTTAAAGCGATATGGCAAAATAAATGTTTCAAGTTGAGGTACACAATATATCAATACAATGTTTTGAACGGAAGCAGTGGGACATTAAGTTTGATTGTGGTGTATTTGTAATCGCCAAGATGACAGTTCCGAGTTGAACAGGTGCCCCTTGGAGTTGAATCCCTGCCCATTTATGGAAAATAATGAGAAACGGTAAACAAACAAACGTAAAAATGAAAATGCATTCACTAACATAGACATCAGTGTTGAATATCTGAGTGATCTGTCAATTATGTATAATGTTCTTAATTAGAAAAACGTACTAACCGGTCTAAAAACAAAATCTTTTCCTGTCTGCTTCCTTTAATCAATTCTCGCCAAATCTCGTAAGCGGAAGTGCTCTGCGCGTGATTTGGTATTTTGTGTTGCTTCCTAAATTTTTATCACATGACAATATAATTCTTTTACGCATTTCCCGTGTAACATTTAAATTTCATGTATTGTAAGTGAATTTTGGGATTTGCTGAAAATTGTTAGGTGGTTTAAGTTTTCCGGTAAGACTCGGCCATGTCCGACTCGTTGCCATGCGATAGCTATCAACCAACATGGCGGACTAGGTTGCGTGAAAACACTGGGCAGAGTAATGAATATTTTATCATAGTGTGTAGCGTACAGATTCCCAAGGCATCAGTTTAGATAAACACTATCAAGAAAAGGTGAGGTAAGATAATTGCTCATGATTGCCAATTTAGAATTTTGAAGATAATTGCCGATAACAGATTTAAATAAAAAAGCAAATGAAAACATTTGCTCTAGGGCCTAGATTTGTGCCTAATATTCTTGTTGAAGTTTGCTAAATGTTCCGTGTTCTGTATGTTCTTTTTGAAAATCTAGGAAATGGAAAAGACATACATAATTGTAGATTTTTTTCACACTTATGTGGCCATGGTGATTTCGAAAAATAGGTCATACATTTACCATAAGACTGTGTATGTAAGTTATCTGAAACACAGTGTTGCAAACATAATTGGGAATGCTGCTTGTTTCAACCTTGGACTTGAGGTTATGTGACTGTATATGAGCTGCTTGAAGAAGAAAACAATTGTTCCCAATATTATGTACATGTATACAGGTTTTGATCCTGACTAGGTCCAGGTGTTGATGACAGTTCCATTCATCTGTTTTATATAATAATGATAATGATCATAACATCTACTTTTTATTTTACAAACAAATAGTGCAGTAGATTTAAAGTCTGATAATGTTTTTATTTGTTCATTATCAAAGTGTATTCTCTTGCATATTTGTTCACTGTTGGTTGTTAAGCAAGTTTAGTTGTATTATTAACAAAGATTGGAGCCCAAAAGATTTGCAGACAAAAGATCCTCTATTTTGAAGCTGATTGACAACATGGCTATTTGGAATAACTATCAATATTATGAAGTCAAAACTAGTAGCAGTCTGCATAGAATTTATGTCATGTTGTTACCTGAAGTTATCAATTCAAAGGCAGATTCATAATGTGTTTTGATATAACAATATTCTTAAGCACAAAAATACATAGGATAAATTTTCAAACTGACTGTCTTTTGGTTCCAACGTAACATTTCGGAATTGAGACCGCATCTCATTAAAACCATATGAAACTGAGATGAAAGAGTGATACATTTTATGTTCTGGTTTGACACAATTTCAGACATTGCCTGAATAAATATAAACATTACTCTGTGTTTTATCAGCCTACCAGTATGTACATTTTAAGTAAAGGGGACACATAATTTTTAATTTCCTCTTTATTTCTTACCATTCCTGATCTCATCATCTCTCCAAGGCAAGTCAGCTAACTGATTACAAGCATTCAGTTTCCACCTTTGTCCAACTAGGCTGGAATTTCTGAGTTACATTTTGGCTGTCCTAACACGTTTATGCATAGTCCAATAAACAATTGGGTAACAAAATCAACATCTGGCTCATAAACAACATTGCTTCTGTTGTGCAGATTTCAGTCAATTGCAGGATTTGCAGAGCATGTGTACCATGATCAAATGGGCATCAACAAATATTTTCCAAATCTTTTCATGTTTTTAATCAAGGTGCTCAAGTGATTTGATGTACTTGCAATGTAAGACCCATTTTATTACACTATAGATTTTGATTATCTATCAGATTGTCTTGACTTGGCACCATCATTTTGTTTGAAGGAAATGTGTGAGGTGAGGTGAAATGGGGTTTAAAGTTGCATCAAAGATTATTGCACTTATAAAGCGACGTGCATGTACGTGTGTGTGTGTGGCTGCTTGTACTAGTCTGGACTGATGCCGATTTATAGTGCTAGCTCACTGAGATACCATGCCACAGTTTAACATGAATACCCCACTCAGACACAGTATACTGACTCCGAGCCGACCAGTCCTTGCTTTAGCCCCTTAATGCCGAGCGCCAGACAGGGTAACAACAAGTACCATCTTTTAACGTCTTTTGGTATGACGCGGCCGGGAATCAAACTCCGGACCTTCCGCTCTCCGGGCGGACACTCTACCACTAGACCATGGAAGCGGTCTGAAGGAAATGGGAGTGATATGAGAGGTGGAATCTGATTGGTCAATAGAAGAGACATAAATCGTAATAGCCACTGCTGGCACTATGATCGAGCCACAAAATTCCAACCTAGTTCAGCAAGGGTGGAAACTGGACTTTACAGTTAGTTACCTCCCTTGCCTCAGGAAGATGGATCTCATTTACACATATTTACCAAATGAATTGAGTTAATTGTTCAGCCATATTGTTTTGTTCTCTTCAAGACATTCACAATCTAACAAAAGGTATTTTTTAAAACTTGTGTACATTCAAGTCCAGCTTGAAACATGATTATGTAAACCAAGAGAACAAGCAGATAATTCATTATAGAAATCATTTGCATATTCCTTTATCATGTCAGTAAGTCACTAATTCTTCAGACTTGGCCATGGCATCTGGCCCAAATGGATCCACGGGAAGCATGGGATTCCCCCCTGGCATGGACGGGATCAACCCAGAGAAGTTGAAGGCCAGACTGTACTCCTATGCTCCACAACAAGCACCA